CACCAGAGTTCACATGAGTGTATTCACACCTGCAGAAAAGGTCCGGACCAATGTTGGAAACAAACTCTGGTTCGTTTAAAGTGGACCAAATTATCAGGTCTGAATACGACCTAAGAAACGTCCAAGTTTAGTCCTCAGAATGTCTGATGGACATGTGTCCCTTTTGTCCCCATGGACTTCCAACGGACATGTGTCCATTTTGCCCACATGGACATCTGGTTGACACGTCCCTTCAGTCCAGAGGGACATCTGATGGACACATATCTCTTGTATTAACAAGCACTTGTCCTCTGTTTGACAGTGTCCACCATGACAGCCATCAAACACGCCCTCCAGAGGGACATCTTCACGCCCAAYGACGAGCGTCTCCTCAGCATCGTTAACGTGTGCAAGGCAGGGAAGAAGAAGAAGAACTGCTTCCTGTGTGCTACAGGTATGTGTGTGAGGCCTGCAGCTTCTGAAGGACCAGGTAGGATCATGAGACGGTTTGGTTTCTTCCAGTGACCACAGAGAGGCCCGTCCAGGTCAAAGTGGTGAAGGTCAAAAAGTCGGACAAAGGGGATTTCTATAAGAGGCAACAGACCTGGGAGCTCAGAGATCTGACTGTGGTCGATGCCAAAGATGCCAGCAAGGTCAGAGAAGACGAGTGTCTCCTTATTCTTCTTGTTGTCCCCTGCAGTCAGGACTCAGGTGTCTTCTGCTGAACTTTTAGGAGAATCCTGAGTTTGACCTTCATTTTGAGAAGGTTTACCGCTGGTTGGCCAGCAGCACGGCTGAGAAGAACTCCTTCATCTCCTACATCTGGAAGCTGAACCAGCGCTATCTGAGGAAGAAGCTGGAGTTTGTCAACGTCAGTCCTCAGCTGTTTGAAGGTGTGTAGATGTTCTCTGTGGGTTGATGTGATTCTCTTTAAAGGTTCTAACCGTAGATTTGATTCAAAGTTTGCTTTCATTTTTTTTAAAGAAATTTAACCCTCTCCTGAAATCTGCTTGCTTTTATTTGTGTTTTCAGAATATTACACTTCTTTTTTGTGTTCTGATTTTTGTGTTAAATTCTTCTTTATTCTCACTTTGTTTCCTTTTGAAACTTTCTCTGGCCAGAACTTCCTAAAGCGGAAGGTTGGTGGGATTAACTTTCCCCTCCTCACTCCTCCTCATCGTATTCTCATGACCTCGAACCACCATTTTCATCAGAAGCTCTCACTTTCTCACAGTTCTTATTTAAATCACATAATTAAATACGGAGGACATTATTATGTTTTTAAAGGGATCCCCAATTAGTTGTAACATTAGACTTTGTTTGATAAACGTATTTTAACTGTAAAATAAAGACTGTAAAAATACTGTAGGATGTTCAGTTTTTATAATTTTTTAACTAAATTTTAAAAATATATTACACGGACGGAGCCCATTTTATTTTCACACAAAGCATTCTGGGTAAATGATGACGTGGATAGGTCCTCGGTGCGAGGCTGCTAGCGAGCTATATCC